CCGGCCGGGGATGGAGGGAGGGAAAGGGAGCCCCCCTCGAGCCGAAGCGGCTGCTCCTCTTCCGTCCCGTTGGTGGCTGGTCTCCACCGAGCCCGGCCCCAGAGGCCGCACCCAGAGTGACCTCTCTGCCTTCAGTTCCCTCCGAAACAGCCACCTGCTCCGAGCCCCTCTCTCCAGTTCAGGTAAGGGGCGGGGGGGGCGGCGGCGGCGGCGGCGGCTCAGGGCGCCGCAGAGAGCCAACGCCTAGCCGCTGCCTGCCAACCGAGCCCCGGCTTTGTTTCCTCTCTTTACCACCACCACCACCCCCCGTCCCCGCAGCCCCAGGAATTCCGGCCGCAGCTGGGCAGGCAGACGTGCGGGGGCCGATGTTGTCCCCACTAGCCTTTGGGGGAGCGCGGTCGCCCGAGCTTGTCCCTCATTCAAGTTCCAGGAAGCTTTAGCAGGGTCACCTTCATTGGCCGGGAGGGCTTCTCCTGGAAGCGGTGCTGACCTGTGTATGGGTTGGCATTGTTCACAGCCACCGTGAAGTTTACGGTCTTCGGCGTGTAAAAGACACGAGTTACAATTTCAGCGCTTTGTATCATTGACACCACACCTTCCCAGAAGCCAGTATTAGCAGAGACTTCATGTTGGAGCTGCAATAATTGGGGAGGGAGAGCTCGCCTGTTGAACCTCTGACTTCTGCACTGTCGTCCTCATGTTGAATAAAAAGTAGTAACCAGAGGAAGTTCAGTCTTCGGGCACACTTTCATGATCCCTCAACACAAATTTGTCTCTAAAGTAGGTCCTATATGCTGACAAAGAAAGAAGCTCTCTGGATTATTGCTGGTGTACTGATATTCTGATCTGAATCTGAATGGCAATGTTGTGTGTGAAGCTATGGATTAGTAGTATTCCAGGCTAGGCATGAGAGAGCAATTGTGTCATCTTGTGTGTCCTGCCTTGGCATAAATAGTTCTTGGCAAAGTAATGAACTCATCAAGGCATCTTGCGCATGGCAAGCTCTTTAGATGATAAAACAGCCAAATATGCATAAAGCCTGCCCCCTTTTAGCAAAGTTCCTCAAAATGTAATCAGTTGCATGTTGCTCTTTTATTTGATGATATACATTGTGGAAGTATTGTCAGTCTCCTTTGAGGTATGTATTTGGTACTTTGACATATTATGTGAATTGTGGAGAACAAAAATGTACACAGATTTTTCAAAATGTTGTTGTTTAGTCGTTAAGTCGTGTCCGACTCTTTGTGACCCCATGGACCAGAGCATGCCAGGCCCTCCCATCTTCCACTGCCTCACAGAGTTTGGTCAAATTCATATTGGTAGCTTCAATGACACTGTCCGTCCATCTCGCCCTCTGTTGTCCCCTTCTCCTCTTACCTTCACACTTTCCCAACATCAGGGTCTTTTCCAGGGAATCTTTTCTTCTCATGAGATGGCCAAAGTATTAGAGCCTCAGATTCGGGGTCTGTCCTTCCAGTGAGCACTCAGGGTTGATTTCCTTCAGAATGGATGGGTTTGTTCTCCTTGCAATCCAGGGGACTCTCAAGAGTCTCCTCCAGCACCACAATTCAAAAGCATCAATTCTTCAGTAGTCAGCCTTCTTTATGGTCCAGCCTTATGGTTCTTTTCAAAATACATTCACATAAAGGACTTTTAGTGGAAAAATAAACACTGGAGCTTATGCATAAATAGAACTTCCCTCAAATGAAATGTATTTGAAATTCTAGGAATGCTCCCTACTCTGTTGTAATATTCTGTATTTGAGAATAGTTGGATTGTGATAGCTGAGTTTTATGTGTAATCCTGCAGGCAGTAGCAAAAGAGAGCAGCAGTAGGCGGGCCTGCTGTTTGCCATTCATCATGAGACTTACCAGTATATACTTTTTATCATGTACCTGTATATGAAAGGGATAGGGTCTTTCTCTCTCTCTCTCTCTCTCTCTCTCTCTCTCTCTCTCTCTCTCTCTCTGTGTGTGTGTGTGTGTTGCTTTTGTTTTTAGTATGGTACAGTCTAACAGTTCAATGTGCATGTCTTAAAGCATACAAGCAGTACGGGCATACTCTAAGGAGATTCAGTTGTCTGTGCCTTTTAACAGCATTTGTCGATATGCATGTTTCCAACTGGAATTTCCTCCTCAGAATATCTACAAAATAATTGTTGAATTCTAGAACAATAATAACCAGCTTTTATTATTTATCTCAGAGAGTTAATATCCCTTTCTGAATTTTACCAGTGGAACTTCCTCCTTTGGCTTAATGTTCATAGGTAGCCCAAGCAGTTAGATGCCTGATATCAATAATTGTCCCTGGAAAAAAGCTTGCAAAAACATAAAGAGGGTGCAAAGATGAGGAGTGAATATTGTGATCTGGTGAAGGAATAATAGGTCTCTAAATACCATGTGGATAACAGAAGCAGCCAAAAAAAGGAAAAAGAAAGAAAGAAAGAAAGAAAGAAAGAAAGAAAGAAAGAAAGAAAGAAAGAAAGAAAGAAAGAAAGAAAGAAAGAAAGAAAGAAAGAAAAGTGTTGCTGCTTATATACCACCCCACAGCTCTTAAAGCACTCTCTGGGCAGTTTACAGTTTAATAATGCAGACTACACATTGATCTCATGCATATAATTCAATTCACTGACCTCAGAAGGATGGAAGGCTGAGTGAACTTTAAGCCAGCTACCTGGGATTGAACCTGGGTTGTAAGCAGAGTTTTGGCTGCAGTATACAGTTTAACCACTACACCACAAGGCTCCTCACAAAGGTGAATCAGAGGGCACCCCTCTGCAGGAAGACACACCTGAGAGGGAATAAACATTTAAAAAATTACTCCATCTCTTAGGAGAGCATGAGCTTTGAAACAGGTAAAAAGTGTCATTTTAAAAAAATCATAGACAATTTCTTTTCAAAAATAATAACGGGCAATGCTATCTCCAGGTCTTTGAATAACATTTCAAGAGGTACTCTAAATGAACTTCCTTAAAACATGAGATGTAAAATCCATTTCTTAGAGCAGAGAAGGGACTGGAAGGTATAACCAGTCCTGTAAAGAGAGATATCCTGGCTAATGAATCTTGAAGACAGTAAGAAGGGGCTAGACATGAATCTTATTGTGCATTCACTCTTGAAGCTGGAGTATCTATCAGCTTGAAGCCTCAGGTCTGTATGGCTGATCAGCTATCCTGGTACTAAGTTCCCATTCCCATTCCCTGTAATTAAATTCAAGAAACATTATTTTGGCATCTGCCAACCCGTTGTTCTGTTTTTCATCTTGAAAACCAGGGCAATGTCAGCAACCAATGCTTCCTATACTCATTTGTCCAGACATAGCAGTGCATAACATGTTTTGCCACACCAAACAATCTGCATATATTATGAAACAAACTGATTTTAGTTGCTTTCTGTCCTAGCAGAAGCCTAACCATGCCAGCTCCTCGCACTTGATTGTTGGTTTGCTTTTGTTGTCTCTTCTAGCAAGAAGTTCTACCTTGTGATAGAATGTGTTAATTTCAGCTCTGTTTCATGTAAAAGAAGAAAAAAAATTCTGTGTTTGTTTTCACCCAAAGTGTGCATCATTTTCTGAGTTCCGGTCTTATCTTCAGCCACACAGCTTAGAAAGAGTTGGCTGGCTGAATGCTGCCCCTCCCCAGATATATACACATTTGTGCCAGAGGTGTTAATCTCTTAGTTATGGGAAGAATCACCTGTTACATAGCAAAAAATTCAATAAAAATTCAGAAATGGAGGTCATGTAAATATAAATAGTAGACACAGGAGCAACTCTCAAAAGAGCCCTGGGAGAAGATGGCTAATCTACTTTGTGTCATCTTCTCAATCAAATACTCCTATATCTCAGAATTTCCTGTTTACCCTGTAGAGAAAACATAGTGACACTCCCATGCTGTGGCCAGTGCTTACTGTCTGACTTTTGGCCCAGTCTCCCACATTAACATGATTACTTCTATTTTAAAAGTTATTGTTCTGAAAGGATATTTCAGTCATGTTTCTCCCATAAGATTAGATTTTGAAAAGAACTGCATTCTGAGAATTTTTTTCACCTTGAGAAAGAACAGGCTGTATTGGGTTATTGCAGTGTCTAAAAGCTTTTACAGTACTGAGTAGCGGAGATAGAGTGAGTTGCTTCTCCAAAGCTTGTCCATTTATATCTTGACTAAATAGCATTGCTTGGAAGACATGCACTGTTTCAAGGCACAGAAAACTTCTATATAGGGAATACACTTTGGACTTGAGAAGTATCAGGACCTGAATGGATTTGCGTATTGTTTATAATGTAACAAGAATTGTAGAGAGTCTTGTGTTTCAGTTGGCCTTCAGGGAGCTCTAAGATCGTCAACATTTGGATGAATGTAAAAAGGCTGTCTGAGAACTCAAATGAACCCCGAGCCATTTCACATTGTGAGCCCTCTTACTGATTTTGGAAGAGGGGTAAAATATTTTATTGTGTAAAATGCATGACAGTAATGCCCTGTGGCTGAGATAAGGACCAGACCAAATGGTCCTGCTTGGCCCCTCTTGTAGAGCCTGAATGTAAAGTATAATTCCAGTGAAGATCTACGATGCTAATTTTTACTGAGCATTAGGCAGATATTCCAGGCCAGTTGGTACATCTTTCTGTATTCTAATCTTACAAGGGTGTTAGCCGCAAATCTTTATTTACAAATGCTCTAAGGAAAGGGTGAGGGAAAGTTGGCAGGCTCTGGCAACTACACTATTTCTAAACAACGCTTTTAGTATGCATCAGTTTATTCACAAACTGCTGCTTGTATATGTACGTACAGTATGTCCATATGATGTCTTCCCTTTGTAACCTTCCTGTGATTTTTCATCCCTTTTTTTTCTTGCCACATGGAAATTTATGAAAGTTTTATGGAAAAGCTGTATAGTGGCCTAAATCCTATTCATCTAAGTTTACATGGTGGGAATCAATGATGTCATCAGCTCACACTGCTAAAATTCATATTAAATAAATGTTTCCTAGCTTCCTGTCTTGCCCTCCATTTTAGGTTTTGAAGCTCCCTAGGGATATCTTTTGCTCTGGAAAGGCTTTTGGGAGCTTCAGAATGGTGTGGGGAGCCTTAGGACCACCAGCAGTTATCTGGTAGCAATTTTTGGCAATTAAAAGTTCTTCCCTATCCTGAGACTTTGAAAGGCTTTCCCAGGGCAAAAAGAAG